AGTTGATATCAATCGATTATTTACATACTGCCGTCATATGGCCGGAATATTGCTGATTATGTGACGAATATCGTCATAAAATGTTTTGTTATGGCACCTTACTTCCAATTGACTTCTTTAAATTCGTCATTAATACTGGCTGCAATTACGTTAAGGTAATAGAAGATACATATTCAAAACATTACAAGCTTGTATTTCGTAATTTAATATTTACACTTTGTTTTGTTTGTAGTAAATTACAATGTCTGGCAGTGGATTCTCATGTAACAGATCACAAGACAACAATGGGAATATAGTCTTTCCATCTACTGGGATAAAATATGCTCAGTTTATTTTGTACCGCAAATGTTGTCAAGATGTCCCTGTTAAAGTGTTACACGTAATCTTGTTTCTGTAGGAACATCCGGAAGATGTACAGCAACATGTATTTACCAAGTGTAAGAATCTACATAATATACAAAAAAAAAATGAGAAAAAGGCAGAGCGATGATATCGCCTTCAAACAATTACTTAACATTTGTTGTGTTCATTTCGTCTATCCCCAACTAAACATATTAATAATATATAAATCACATGTCAAGACAACAACTATGTGAAGACACGTAAAATCCCTGACTTCGTTCACACATTCCAATGTCAGTCGAGGATCTCGTTGTTGAATACTACTGCACTGCCGGTCCATTCTTAATCCCCTGTAATTTGAGTGTCGTATCTCCCTATCCGGGGTTTATAATTAGTTATCACTGCACGTGTCCAAAAGGGTGATGGGGAGTGTCCAGTTATTATGTCCACGTATTCATGGAACATGTCAAAGGTCAACACACGAAGTGAGTGGAATGAATATGAGAAAATGATGAAAACATGCACTGAAGCATAAAGTAGAGAATGCTTTCTTTATCAACAACTGGTGACGTTACATGGACAATAAACTGCTGTGATGGGAAATTAGAGGTCACCAAACAAAAGGTGACCTCGAGTGAAAATGGTGATGATTTATGTTGTGCAACTATAATATTAAGGACAGCTTCCATCGCCTAGTGGAAGGAGCATTACCTGGGAGAGTTGAGGGTCGGTGGTTTGATTCCCCGGCCTCTTCACACTGAAAGATGTTGAAGATGGTACTCTCCATTAAGGGGCTAAAACAAAGACTGGAAGTCCCTGTATTGAGTCTGAGTGGGGTAGACATGTTCAGCTGCGGCATGGTATCTCAGTGGGCAGGCACTGTAAAGTGAGCATTAGAATTGAATAGTTCACACACACACACACACACACACACACACACACACACACCTCACTTGTACACGTGGCTTTGTAAATGCAATGATCATGAATGCAGGATTAAGCCTCACCTTACATAAAACATGTACAATGGTTGAACTGCAACAAAGGGAGGCAACTCGTGTCTCCTTACCATGTTAAAAGGAATTTTACTGTTTAATTGTACATAGAAAATATTTTCAGCTATTTGAGAACCAGTCGAATTTAGTTTTAGTTTTGTTTTGTGTGTATATATATATATATATATATATATGAATATCATAGACAAAACGAAAAGAAGTAAATAACCTTATTTTGAAATTAATTAATGCATATTGCAATAGATATTCATGAAGACATCTCTTCGACTTTAAGGTTCAAAATTCACACGTACACCATGAAGCACAGTTACTTTTTCAGTTTGTATATACTTTGTCAGGATCGTACAATTGACGAGCAGGGATTCCTGATGATTATGGAAATTGTCAAATTATTGTTTTTTTAAAGTGACGGGTACAAACGGTAGAGAAGGGCATGTTTATCTTTTTCACGAATACCTGGTGTGATCACTGATTTTCAGCGAACATTACATACGACTTCCCCACTATTTTACCTGTTACGCTCAATGAATTATTATGAATCGGAATTTAGTTCTCGCTTCCTCTAAAGTTCCGAGGACGTCCAATTGCGGGTCACGTCATAAGGACGTTTCTTGCTACCAATCAGAGCGACGCTTAACGGATCCTGAAAGTGACAGTCGGAATGTGTTTTCCAATCATGCAAACTGGAAACGGTTAACACGGGGTACTAAAAAAAACAGTTACGGACTGTCCGAATGCTTCCGCCGAAATCATCGTCTATCTAACCCCCCCCCCCCCCCCCCCCCCCCCTAAAAAACAAACTAAAATTGAATATACTTTCATTTCATCAAACTAGCAACCATTTCTACCCGTCATGCTGGATATGTGGTTTATTTAATGATATATTCATATGGTATGTTTATATGTCTTCTTACATGGTTGGTTGGTTGGTTGGTTGGTTGGTTGTTTAGCGCCGCACTCAGCAATATTCCAGCTATATGATGGCGGTCCGTAAATAATCGAGTCTGGACCAGACAATCCAGTGATTAATATCATTAGCACCGATCCACGCAATTGGGATCGATGACATGCATCAACCAAGTCAGCCAGCCTGACCACCCGATCCCGTTAGTTGCCTTTTACGAGAAGCATAGTCACCTTTTACGGCAAGCCCCGGATCTTCACGGGTCTCTTCTTACATGGAGCTTTGCATAAATATCAAGTTGAACCAAATTCTATGCAGGGCTCTTTTGTTTGTATGGACTTAAGCCTTCATTTTAAATGTGTGTGTGTTAGTGTTAGTGTGTGTGTGTGTGTGTGTGTGTGTGTGCGCGTTATTGTGTGTGTGTGTTATTTTGTGTGTTATTGTGTGTGTGTGTGTGTCTGTGTGTTGGGGTTGGAGGTGTAACACAGTAATAGCGGAGGGAGGATGTGCAACCAAGAGTTAGAGAGTTGTAGTTTGGTTTCAGATCCCTGTAGTTATCGAAGGCTACTGAATCAAATCAAAATTGGAAATAATATGTTACATAAGGAACGACTACCAATATTAAATTAATCTGTGGGCGTGAATATTTTGTAGAAAGAAACACCTTGCAACAATGTAACTTTTGTGGCATGCAACCTTTTATTCTGTTTTTAGAAGTCTGAAGCATAAGAATTTGTTGCAAGAACTTTCTGGAACAATATTTATTTCGATGAAGTCCCAGCCCCTTAAGCTTCCACCTCCCGAGACTATGAAAGGGTCGGTCTCATAAAGAGATCTGGGAAAGGTTCCAAATTGCCACCAGCATCCATTATCCAATGACTCATGCTTTTCTATGTTATTACCAGTGTTCACTAACGTTTAGCACATGTGTTTCATATATAAATCTGTCTTGTCAAAAAACACTACGTGGCATTCTTAAGAGCTTTATTGGTCATTCTAAGAATGGCTGGATATTGCATGTGTGTACTGCTTGCGCTTGCCCCTGCAGATTATTTGTTTGACAGACATTGTATTTACATGATATGTAAAGTGACTAGGAATCTGTGGTGATGAGGATGCTGAAGGATCCTGATGCGGGAGTCGAACTAACGACGAGTTGATCAATGGAAGTCTTCAGAACACAGCACAGTTCTGGACCACCTGACCACCTGTGCCCCTAAAGCAACACATTTTGCAGTCAGTGTGAAATACAGGTAATTTTGTAATGCCAAAACGATACACCAGGTCTAATGTGCAGATATTCTTCAATTGTTGTCTTTCTCCTAATTGTTGTTGTTCAACTGAAATCGTATTGATAATTTTCCTTTTGATTTAAGATTTTGGCAACCATCACTAATTTGCAGATATGACTACAGTGTTAAGCAGAATTCATTAACTCCATCGCTCATTGTTTTATGGCAAGCACGATGTACAGATACTACCGTGTGTAAATAATTTTATTCGACGTTACAGTGCCCACAAATTTCTTGTGAAACACGTGGACACAAGGCGCTTCTTTTCTTGCTTCATTTGTGAAGTTTTCTGTCCGAAGATTATGTTATGTTATGTACAATTGAGAAAGGATCCGTTAAGATCCTGGTTTAGGCTTGGTCTTCAGCAACCCATAATTGACGTAAGGGGTGACTAAAAGGAATCGCGTGGTGAGACTCGTTGATTTGGATGATGAATGTCATCGTATCCCAGTTTCGTAGAGGATGATTCAGTTACTGAATTGGTTGGTCCAAACTCGATTATTACAAACCGGCCTCATGTAGCTGGAATATTGCTGGGCGCGGCATTAATAAGTCAATTCATTCATCAATTTGTATTGATAAACGGTCATATATTTTGATGTGTTTGATTTTCTATATTTGTATTAGTGTCGGGTACAAATATGGGGTATCGAACTCGCATCTTCGGCGTGACGAGCCAACGCTTTAACCACACGGGTACCAAACCGCCCCAAGAATCTCATGTATTAAGGTTCTGTGGGCATTTTCGTAGAAACCGAAGATGTTAAAATGCCTCATCCAGCTGACACTGTGTCATGGTACCCTTCGTTGGTCATACCATTAACCACTGGTTTGCCTGCCCAAGTCTACAGACTGCCATAAAGTCAAACAACTCTCTCCCTCACTCAGAATGGTAGAAGGTAAATTCCATGGAGGGGCAGATTCTATAAAGACAAGGCCAAGTGATTTGATAATCCCTCAATTCTGCGAAAAGACTTCTCAACTTGCTTCTTATTGTGAATTCAGAATGTATTAAATGGAAATCTACACAGAAGAAGAGTAACCTCTCTCTGTATCGAGCTAGTCTCTACATTCCTAAACTTCTTCTGACACAAATATTTGCGGATGGTGACCCGTGAAGATCCGGGGTAGAATAGGTCTTCAGCAACCCATTCTTGCCGTGAAAAGCGACTATGCTTTTCGTAAGAGGCGACTAACAGGATCGGGTGGTCAGGCTCGCTGACTTGGTTGAAGCATGTCATCGACCCCAATTGTGTGGATCGATGCTCATGATATCAATCACTGGATTGTCTGGTCCAGACTCGATTATGTACCGACCGCCGTCAAACAGCAGGAATATTGCTGAGTGCGGCGTTAAACAAACGAACAAAAAATGTTAGAATTAGCAAAGATATAGATATTCATAATGTTTCTAATTGTGCAAACAACACATTTCCCACAAAGCAATTGGTTTGAAACATTGGTTTATTTTGGAACATTGTGGTAAATATATGTAGTTACCTCCGTATGACAACATCAATTGAAATTTAGAGAATGCATACTTTTTGCGTTATCGAGTGGCCTTATTGAAATCCGACATTGGATACTTTTGTAACTCATGAATTAGTGAGTGAACTTGTCTTCATGCCAGTGCTAATTATTGTTACAGTACCTACAGCAGCAAGTGCTTGCAACAGTTAGCCAAGAAGCCGCTGCACGTTTGCGTCTCCTGGATGGAGCTGTAATAATCAAATTAAGTCTTTTAAGTATAAGGTATAGTGCTATACGTATGAGATAATAAAGATAATGTAGCGAGATTCAGATTGTCCTAGCTAAAAAAAACAGGATTTAAAACGTTCAACACACATACTTACCTCATTCGATTAACAAGGACTGTTCATTGACTTACGCCACAAATAGTTCACATTTTAGAGAAAAATTTGAGTAGAGGAATCGCCAGTAAATATTAATGACATATAAGGAAACAGGTGTACAACATAGTGCCAAAACGAGCTCCCGTGTAATACCAATTTAAAGAAACGAATGATTAATTCTGGTATTTGACGAGCGAATGTTTAATAAAAACGGTATAACATGGGAGCGAGTTGAGTAATGTATTTATTACTTGCCGCTTATAAACTTTTCAAACCTAATTTGATGGAACTAATGGAATTCCCGTCATAAACCAGGTGAAGCAATCGGGATACGATGACATGCATGAACCCAGTCAGCGAGCCTGACCACCCGATCCCGTTAGTCGCCTCTTTCGACAAACATGGTCGCCTTTTACGGCAAGCATGGGTTGATGAAGACCAAGACATTGACGCGACCCACAGCATAATCCAATTGATTTTAACAGAGTAATACAGTGATGGAATTAGATTGGTTTATTCCGCTTTTAGCAATATTTCAGCAAAATCACGGAGGTATGGGTGGGCACACCGGATATGGGCTTCACACATTGTACCCATGAGGGGAATCTTGATCTTCGCTGTTTTGAGCGAACACCGACGTTATGAGTAATCTTTGAAACTTTGTTGCAAGCTACACCAGCGAGACAATGTCCCAATAACAGGGTTCATGTCATCGAGTTTTGAGTGATCTATCAGTGTACGCAATGTCATAGAATAAGTGATGTGATGTTGAAAGTTTTTCCATATTTTTCATGGAGTTTGTTCCGGGAGTACCGACATGAAAGCACGCGCTTTGGTATTAAACACCAGCTTATTGTTATCAAACAGTGGTATCTTAAACGGGCGGGTAATAAACGGGAAATATCACTTGGACAATGTCTTACACAAAATATGTATTTACAATTTAGAGTTTCACACAACCAATGTAAGACAATACATACCTGTGAGGTCAACGGTGCCTGTGTGCACGAGACCGACGAAGTAGACGTCGTGGAAGCGGCAGAAGCAGTCGATCTCATCTCCAAGGAGCTCCTCCACAGCCCACGGCTCAATGGGGCAAACCTTCTTCACGTCAATCCAATCTTCAGCGAGCTGGCCTACGGTTGCATTGTGCTTTAGGAGTAAATGAGAAAACATTACTTATTTCTTAACGTTTCACTTCAGGACTAAGACAGCTGTGGAGACAAGAATCGGACAAAATGTGAAATATACTCTCCAACGAAAGTAGGGGATCACGACAAATAAATGTTATCGTCAATGTATTGATGAAAAGGTGAGCGTATGCTCCCCCACCCGTGGCACCCGTCACAACCACACACAACGGGTCCACCTGAACAAACAGGAACATCAGATACAAGTCAAAATAGGGAATTGCATCCTATCAATAATACAATATATTTGGAAATGTTGGGGGCGTGAATGTTTTCCAATAAGAATAATCAAGCCCCTGATGATCCAGAATGGTTATTCTCTGGCGTTGACGTTTTGTATAAACAAAATAAACTTGCATATGCGTGGCACGGCGTTAAACCGTTCGGCTGTCACGCCGAAGGCTTGAGTTCAATTCCCCATGTTTGATGTCCCTCGCCGTGATATTGGTAACATTTTGCTGAAAGCGGCATAAAACCATTATCGCTCACTCATTCCTATGAATATAATAGAAAATCCTTCCTTGATTGTATTTCGGATTATAGTAAATCATTGAGAGAAGGATTTGGTGGTACATTTGCTTGACCCAGCAATAAAGCTCTCTTTGTACTCCTTGGAATGAAGCTCTGGAATCCGGACGGATGGACGCCAGACGTCAGTACATATGCTTAGTTAGTATTCTAACCTTTAAACATCATCTCCTAAGATCAAGCAAAACCTTTGAGGTTTTGAGAATCAACATGAATTCCACTCGTACCCAAATACTTCCTCTTAATACAATGGGCAATGGGGTAGCATTGTGGTAAAAGCGTTCGCTTGTGACTCTGACTGCCCGAGATCGACCTCCTTACATTGCAATTGGCACAATGTGTGAATCCCATTGCTGTTACCCCCCGGCGTGATATTGCTGTAATTTTGCTAAAAGTGGCGTAAAACCACACTCACTCACTCATTCCTGTAAATATAATCCTTCCTTGATTGTATTACAGATATACAGATTGTTAATCATTGAGCGAAGGATTTGGTGGTACATTTGCTTGACCCAGCAAAATAGCTCTCTTTGTACTCCTTCGAATGAAGCTCTGGAATCCGGACGACAGTACATATGCTTAGTAAGTACTCTACCCTTTAAACAACATTTGCTAATCTTTAGAAACTGAAGCAAAACTCCACGTACCTGTTCAATACCTCCTATTTTCACTTTCAACTCTTCAAAGGTTTCTTTGATATGTCTGACATAGCATTCTTTGTCAACCGAATTTCTCATGGCAACAAGTTGCTGAAATGAGATTAAAGAAAATGAAGCTCGAATAAATGGGTGATTTTGTTCTGCTGAAGACATCGTTGCAAGCTCTATCAGGGTGAACTGTAAACAACCGAGACTTGACCAGGGAGACCAGTGACTGAAAACGACAATCAGCACCATTTGGACATGCAGTCTGATAGGACACAGTGTCTGTCTTACAAATCTATTTCAGTTGACCTTTCTTTATGCGTATGTTATTGGGTACCAGTTTTACTCAAGACTTCCAAGGGGGCAATGGTGTTTAAAGAAAACGGTTAGTTTGAATGTAAGCTTATTGAAATGGACGTTAAGGTTAACACGAATTTCGTCAGAAAATATTTCAACGTTTATTGTACCATTTAGAGTAGAATAAATAACACATACCCTGGAAAACACGTGGAGGTTGGTTGTTTCTCGGAAAGAGGCAGGCGCATTGTCCGGTTTGTGGGACTGCAGTTCAATGATGCCATCTCCGAATGCCACGTCCAGCAGCATTGTCGCATCCCCGTAGATAGCGCTGATATTTCTCCACTACAGGTATAGGAATTGATTGTTGCTTAGCGCCGCAATCAGCGAAATTCCAAACACAATCAGAAAGAATTAAAGCATACAAGATAGACTGATTATTAACACGAAGAAATTTGAATTCAATTCATTAAGTATCATTCTCATATTTTTTACTTTTATATACCAAAAAGGAGATCAGATATCTATATTGTAAGAATAAACTTAAGTTTGTCTGAAGATTCTTGACAGGGTAACTGGTCAATTGCATTTCTTTCCTCTGTTTGCATCGCCATCAATAAGGAGATGTTGAACTATAAGTAATCGAGTCTGGACCAGACAATCCAGTGATTGATATTATGATCAGCAATTCACGACTTCGGAGTGCGTTGACACGTTGAAACAAGTCACCGAGTCTGACCACCCGTTCCATTACGTTTCCTTCAATGCCCAGTATAGGTTGTTGGGAACCAATCCTAACCTTCGTGGTCTTGTGGATAGAGCGTCTGCCCGGAGAACAGATGCGCGTCGAAATATAAGTGCAATAATCCTGAGTGCAACATTAAACCTCATTTTACCTCACCTCACATCTAACCTGGAATCCCCACGGAGGAACCACTATTCATTTATTTTACTTCTCGGACTATTTGCAATGTCGACACCCAACACAGTATGGCATTAATTCATTGCACTCCCTTTCACTCATTCACTCGCTCACTCACCTCAGACGCTGCTGCAGAAGACAAAATGAGAACAAAACCCACCAGGAGCCTCGCCATTGTGGATATCTTAGACTGAAACAGGAAATTAATGCAACATTAATACAAAATATCAAACGGAGATCATGGTGTTGAGATGTATGAAGGAATGAGAAGAGCTCATCTATGTGACAGAAGTGTGAAGAATAAAAAGGTAAACTGACCTTTGCTATTGTAGAAGCACCAATTCTCCGTCTGTAACAAGTCGTTCTACTCAGTGGCATTTATATCTAATCTGTTGGACACGTGAGTTGTACAGACTAGTCAATCATCCAATCACATGTAATGAGTAGAGGACCACGTGAGTTGAAGATTACGGTCACACAGCCAATCACAATCATTCAGAAGAGGAACCACTGAATCTTTAAGCAGTGCGGTACCTATAATATATATATATATATATATATATATATATATATATATATATATATATAAACATACAATACTTACAATGTTGGAATATTCAGACAGGCACAAAACCGCTAGACAATGAAGATGCATGTTTTCCAAGTTGACGGATGCCAAAGTAGACGAATTATGTTCCTGTAATAGCGACGTAACAGTTGATGAGTCGGAACACCCTTTGAGTAAAAAGGATGCTATATCAGAAAACGTATGCAGATGTGTCGTAATGTATGATAATACAACAGTCCCTCTGTTTGTGGAAAAAAATACCGTATTCTATTGATATCTGTTTTCTCGAGATAGAGTTCCCCTGGCCTGTGTGCCAGGACGTCCTCGCAGGGATGTATATGCAACAGTGTCCAGTACGGTAACAATAGTCCGAATTGTGACACCATTCATACATTATCATTTCAGGTGTATGCCTTCATTTCGCAGACTACTTTATAATATAGTTCAGGGTCTTTTTTCTCATTCTCGGTCAATGATATTTTCAAACTATCCTTTTATCCTTTTATGATGCAAGCCTCCGTTCACAATCATGGTCGGCTGCACACATTCTCGGCAAAGGAAACCTATTCTGCACCCTTTTAACCCTTAGACATTACATAGTTCTTGATAGACACATGATTATATTAAGCTGGTCTTCATGTCGTATAATACCAAGAACCGACAATGAAACCATTGGATTAAACCGATCAAGATTATGTTTTAACACAGAGGGGGGGGGGGGGGGGGGGGGGGGGGGGGGTCGGTCGTGGAGCCTAGTGGTTAAAGCGTTAGCTCGTCACGCCGAAGACCCGGGTTCGATTCTCGACATGGGTACGATGTGTGGAGCCCATTTCTGGTGTCCCCCGCCGTGATATTGCACGAATATTGCTAAAAGCGGCGTAAAAACGAACTCACACACACACACTTTAACACAGGGAGCGATACAGCCAGCTGACAATGGGCAGGAAGGAACATTTTCCTTGCATTGTTCACTGTACATTTTGATGCACTGCAGTGGTGATACATCAGGACTGTTTCTTGTGTATGACATTTCATTAACATTTGACCTAAAGTGTTTTGATATTGAATCAGACACAGACACACAAACACGCACTACACACATTAACATTTGACCTGAAGTGTTTCGACATTGAATTTTGAATCATACAAATGACGAATATCATCTCTATGAGCAATCAAACTATGTTACGACACACGTGCGCGTGCGAGGACAGTGTTCCACAGTGGTCCTTGACTTGCCTTGAAAGATCGCACAACATTTTATGAACTTTCTAAGTCGCTCTTAGCATGTGATAAATATTTATCCATGTCCGCCATATAGCAGGAATCTTGCTGAGCACAGCGTTAAACAAGAAACAAACACATTTATACGTGCATGTTTACGTCACCGTTTAAGTTTGATCCTTCTTAAGAACTATCCAACAGGTCATTACTGACAAGTACACCCAGGCAATCTATACAAGATCACGGTATGAATACGTTTTGAAGATTACAAATCTAGGACTGCGACTTGTATGAAAGAAACGATTATCTAACCTAAACAATACACCTGATTTTGCGTACCTACAATGTTGTAGTAACAATATGTATTTTGAGACAGAAAGTGTATGTCTTAAATTTTTATTATGAAACTAAGCGTGTGTAAAGCTATGCAATATATTCATTAAACAATAAAACCAATTGTGTGCAATTGTCGCAAACATAATGAAACAATAAAACCAATTGTGTGCAATTGTCGCCAACATAATAAAACAATAAACCAATTGTGTGCAATTGTCGCCAACATAATGAAACAATAAAACCAGTTGTGTGCAATTGTCGCCAACATAATGAAACAATAAACCAATTGTGTGCAATTGTCGCCAACAGAATGAAACAATAAACCAGTTGTGTGCAATTGTCACCAACATAATGAAACAATAAAACCAATTGTGTGCAATTGTCGTCAACATAATGAAACAATAAACCAATTGTGTGCAATTGTCGCCAACATAATGAAACAATAAAACCAGTTGTGTGCAATTGTCGCCAACATAATGAAACAATAAACCAATTGTGTGCAATTGTTGCCAACATAATGAAACAATAAAACCAGTTGTATGCAATTGTCGCCAACATAATAAAACAATAAAACCAGTTGTGTGCAATTGTCGCCAACATAATGAAACAATAAACCAATTGTGTGCAATTGTCGCCAACATAATGGAACAATTAAACCAATTGTGTGCAATTGTCGCAAACATAATGAAACAATGAAACCAATTTTCTAAGAAATGTTTCAAGCTGAAACTAGTTATATTTAGTTGGTATGAAATAATGTATGTAAAGCGTTCGGTTATTCTGAAATACAATCTGCGTGTGTTTGTAAATGGTAGTCCTGGGTGCAGCCATTTCAGTCTTAAAAATGTGGCCTTGAGCTAACAAATTACAGTTTATGCTTTTTTGTATCTGTTTTGCCAATTCGACCAGTTCAGACCTTTTGAGCAGAGAGACTTGTTCAGCTAAAGGTTGGTTTACAAATTCCTCTACACTAAACACCATAGTGATTGTTGGCTTCACACAATATCAGACAATATAATGTTTATCCAATAATTTTGAAAAATAATTTGTGATATATATTTTCGATCACGGACGAGCTCCGAATTTCTGTTACGTGTCGATTTCCAAATTGAAACAATATGTTAATCCAGAAATCAACATGTTGTATACATTCAACAAAAGAATATATACAAAATTAATGATGGAAGTGGTCAGTATCAAAAAAAAATAATACAGTGGTGATAGCAAAAGTATATTCACCCAGCGGCGACTTTGATGGGTTAGGCAGGGAATCAGGGATGATGAGCGATCCTCACATGAAGGGATGAAAAAGCGTGAGAGAGAGACCAAATGTGTGAGAGATGCGTATGGTCCAACTCGCTCCCAGAACACAGAATATTCGATACTAGTCCACGGTATACCGGCCGTTTACACATCACACTCGTATCTAAATATAATAACTGCCTGACGACTGCTTAGATTAAAAAGTACCACATTCCTTACGACTAATCACTGCCAAAATACGATGCAATGAGTGTCTACCAAATCTCGACAGAAACAACAGAAACACACTGTGTTCATTGTTAAAATGCTAGTAATAAAATACATTGTGACATGACACTCTTGAAAATGGACACATTTATATGTTTGATGGATGAAAGCAATACATGTACTTTCTTTGTTTTTGTTTGTTTGTTGTTAAACGCCGTACTCAGCAGTATTCGAGCTATATGACATGCATCAACCGCGACAGCGAGCCGAGCCAGCCGATCCCGTTACTCGCCTCTTACGACAAGTTTGGGTTACTAAAGACCTATTCAAACCTCTAGTGTAGTGAAGAGTTAATTCAATATAGAGTCAATGCTTGAGTTATTCAAGATATAAAACAAACACAGTAGACAAAGGCACATCATATTTGACAATATAAGAACCACAATAACTGATATCTGAATACATATTCACACTTATCTCAAGTGAGTGGATCGATGTTCATGATGTCAATCACTGGATTGTCTGGACCAGAATCGATTATTTACAGACCGCCGTCTTATAGCTGGAATATTGCCGAGTGCGGCGTTAAACAATATACAAACAAACAAACATTTTGTGACAAAGGCCTTACATGTGTGGAATGTTTTATTCATGTATGGGATGCCTATGTGATTTTCAGTTGTGTACAATAGCACACAGATACATTGAAAACAATACTTAGGTATAATATTTGGTCTTTGTACGGCGTAATAGAGTTTCTTTCACATACTTAGCTATATTTCAGAGAAAAGTCATTTTTGCTATTTAAGAGGTTGCTGATGGCGTTAAAGAATGGATTGATATAAACGCTAACAGGAATACTTTTGTCTCAATGATTGAGATTAATAGAAAATAGACTTAGTCCATTAATAGCAAATACTTATACTGTGCCCGACCTTTCGTATTCTTTTGGTGTTGTTGATTGGACGAAACAATAAATTCAGGGTACTGACACCCTCATACCAAGAATCATGGCAGACAATAGATCCCACCATCCTCGCTCTTCCCTCAATCACTTATATTTACCAATTATGATGGGAGGGCGTGATTTGATTAATGTGGAGGCTCCTCATGATAGAAGTGTTTTGTGCACTTTTGCACACATTTATTTATCTGATGATCCACTTGTGAAGCATGACAAGACTCATGATGAAAATAAGGCATTCCACAGTTTTCTAAAACGAGCCAAGGATGTGGGACATAATCTCAATGTCAGTGTTGATTATGTTGATGGTTCTGTACATGTACTGCTGGTCTGTACGGAAATGTGTGTCCACCTAGCGAAGTGCCATATCAAATCGGCCCAGACTCAGTTCTCCAAGGAGAGGCTATCTGAAAGACCGCTTCATCGAGTTTATATGCAGTGTGTTGAGAAGGTAGGCAACCCTGCAGAGTCCTTCGCTTTGATGAGGTCGGCTGGCCTGAAAATTGAAATAGAAGGCTTTCTGTTTGCTGCTCAGGACCAGTCACTTCCCACTCGAAACCGCCAATGTGTGATTTTGCATCAAAATGTAAATATGAAATGTAGATTATATAATGAATTTAATGAGACTTTCCAACACATTGTCAGTGGATGCACAAACACAGTATCTTAAGCAACATGATGACGTGGCTCGATCATTGTATTACTGTCTTCGCCATGCTTGTGGGTTTGACACAAAGGTCCTTCCATGGTACAACCCGGAATATGCAGAGGGCATCATGGAAAATGATAAATACAAAATTCTTTGGAATAGGCCCGTATACAGCCAAAACGTATCAAGGCCAACAAACCTGATCTTGTCCTTTTTGATAAATCTAATGAAATCATTTATGTCATTGAATTTTTTGTGCCTTTTGACACCAATCTGATTGACAAGATTCAATGTCACGCTTGCATCCCAAGTACCAAGTTGTCCGACTCTCCATTGTTATCGGTGCCTTAGGTTTGGTACCTCCCAATCTGTTGACTGACATTGGCAGAGTATCCGTTTTTTTGCCGGGAATTCAGCCGTTCTGGGTTGGTTTGACTAGGCGGCGCTTCCTGGGAGAAGTCCCGATTCGCTGTCTCGGCTGTGTGAAGAGAGGACACAGGCCTTGAGCCCACCAACCTCACTGCCAGGATGACCCAAACCCTCTTTGTTGCATTTTTATATTTTAATCTGTAAATAATAATGTCATCGAATTCTCTGTCCCTTTTGACACAAATGTCATTGATAAGTTTCAGTATAAGTATGGCAAATATTCGGACCTCGCCTGCGAAATGTCTCGGTTGCACCCGGAATACAAAGTTGTTTGACTCCCTACTGTTCTTGGTGACTTAGGATCGGTATCTCACAATTTGTTGACTGACATTGGGAGAGTACCCTGGTGTGTTGCCGGGAACACAGCCATTCTGCCAATCTGGGTAATAGGGTACCTGAGATGACTTGATCAATAATCGGTCATGCCCCTACGATTGGACCAACATTCGTTTATACGGCGTGGTATGGTCCGAATCAGGGGCCCATTGACAATTTGAAGGAGTCTTGTTCACTCATCTTACAGCGTCAAGTGCTGTTCGGCTAATATAGCCGGTGGCCTTTTGACGTCGCCGTACACGTCACCCGACCATGTCCGAGCCATGCTCTGTTGGGAAAGGGTTAGAACTCATGGCTTGCCATGGTAATTTTGGGGAGGTTTTGCTGCTGGAGGCTGTCCGTTACGATACGTGCACGAGCGTTATCGTCTTGAAAAAACGCATGGTTTGCAAACGGCACAAATATTGGTGTCGTGATACTACTGTCCAGTGGGCTTTCCATGGACAAATGCAGTGGCGTTCTGTAAGTCATAATGATCATTACAGACCCACCCCGATATTTATTTTCCTGTTTGGTCAGGATGTGAATGAGGACAAATTGAGATTAAGTGTTTGGTTTCTGTGTGCTTGAACATGTAAATCTATATAAATCACTGTGGTGGTGCTGTCAATAAATGCAATGTTGATAAATACATGAATTCTGTTGTTTGAAACCCCTGTACCCGTTATACATTGTTGTACATATGTTATTTTTATCTGAACATGCCATATATTCATCCTGGTCTCTATGACCTTCAGGTCACCTCCTGTGACACAAATATCTTACCTCAATCAATCAATCAATAAATCAATCAATCGCTTGGACATTTTCGACAGTCGTCCTTGACTAGGCATGAAGCATCGACAGCGTACATTGGCACAGTCTACGGTAAATGTGATTTGTTGTTTTTTGTGTCTGACACATTTTGGAACATTTTGTATGCTCATGTGTTTTATTTTAAAATCTATAATTATTAATGATTTTGTGTCTCTGCTTTGAAGTAACAGACATGCGTTTGTAAATGTATGTTTCAGCACAAAATACACCTTTGACACCTCGCTTTTAAAAACAACATACGTCATGCTTCGAAACAAAAGGCGATATCTCTTATTGTCCACTCGGGCTAGTTAATGTTCTTTAATGTAAATCTCACAAACTTTCAGATCCGTCCCATCGCAAACATTACTCGCCTTAGTTTGTACAATGAGCATTAATCCCCCAACGTGTGATATTCAACTCCATGTAAAATGTAGTCATGAAATGTACCATGGGAACCTCTTCCCGTGACGTCGGTACCTCGTCACACCCCGATAGCATCTTCTGATTCCATCGGTTGATGTTGAATATGTCAACAGCTTTGTGCAGCGTTAAACTTTGCATTTTCAAAAAGCAATAATTGAAGAAGGAGAACTGCAAAGGAAACAAGTCTATACGTTGTCCTTTTTTTTCCTTTTATATAAAGGCAACAAAATTAATGCTTTACACTCCTGTGATTACATAATCCCTCAAGCGTAAGAATTAATATAATATTCCAATTTGAGATCCAGCAGAACAAAGATCTAAAGGAACATTTAAACATCACATGTTCATGTCAGTTTGCTGAATCTACAAAAGTACACATAGGTAAGGTACATTAAGTTGGGGCGGTCGGGTAGCCTAGTGGTTAAAGGGTTAGCTCGTCACGCCGAAGACCTGGGTTCGATTTCCGACATGGGTACAATGTGTGAAGCCCATTTCTGGTGTTCCCCGCCGTGATATTGCTGGAATATTGCTAAAAGCGGCATAAAACCCTACTCACTCACTCACATTAAGTTGATTATTTGGACGTTATGTAAGTATTGACTTTCAATCTATTTACAAAGTGAATATCAATTCTCGTAATTTTTTATCAGTATTTTGTACCGCGAAGGATGTGTACACACCTTTTATTTAGTGTGTGCGATTTCATGTATTGCCCAATATTTTAGTTCCCCACAAGGAGAGGTGACATGAATATTATTGTGCTAGAATTGATCTACAGTAACATGTTTTGCAGTTTGTGTACAACAACTTTATTAAAGAAATATCATCATTAGATGATAAAGGTCTGTTAATAACTACCCCAGAAAGTATGTCAGTGACAGCAATTCGTAATGAATTTACACAAGTCAAAATGGACGTCAAGATCAAAACCTGTGGTCATTACAGGTGAGGTGAAATGGGCTTAAACGTCGCGTTCAAGATTGTTGCATAGCAATATCATTTATACAGTTTAAAACACGGGCTATAGGCCACCAGGAACCAAAGGTAGGCCACCTCGCCTGGGATCATGGTGACTTACAGTACCTCTGCTTCCTGCGTGATAGCCCAGCAGGATTTACGTCATCACCTTAGCTACTGGTGGCTGTGCACGATGCTAATCTTTATTAAAAATACGCAGAGTGAGTGAGTGAGTAAGTTGTGTTTAATGCCGCTTTTAACAGTATTCCAGTCAAATCACGGCGTCTCAGAAATGAGTTACATCGATTATGACAGGAATTACTGTCACGCAGTATTGGTATTTGAGCCTCCAATAATCTGTGTTGATAAAAGTATCACACCAAATTTAAAGGCAAGCAATTGATGAATATATTCACATTCATATTTAATATATATATATATATTTATGATTTAATTTCTTTTTGGAGTACACAAACAATAGGTTTATAGAATATAGTTCACATGCAATCTTAAATACATACAAGTTACAAAGTATATCTATAGATGATAACAAATAAAAACTATTCCAGTGTTATATTGTTGGATTGTACAAGTTCGTGGGTTTAAACGAATAGGAGGTGACAGTAAAATATATTATACAGAACTATTTATTTCAAGTAACTTGAGATAAGATGCCGGCTTACACGGGAAAAGAGATCTTTCAGATATGCACTGCAAAAAATGTGAATCCCTTGCAATTGCAAAGTCCACACAGTCAAGCAATATGTGCTTGACGGTGAACCTTTTGTCATAGCTTTCTTCTAACACCAAAAAGCTATGACACTTTCATCACAAGGGATACACTTAGGAGGTTCGTCCTCATCTGTTTTAAGCAGACATTCGTGGGTAAACCGACAGTGACCTATACGACATCGTCGTAGAACGACCTCATAATGTATTGACCGATTGTTGGTTTAACTTCATGAAGTTTATTTATTCTTTCCTGGGTGTCATGCCTTTTTTTGCATGAGATCCCGAGTATAACTCTTGATGGCTGGTTTGAAATTACTGTTTGGTTTGGTTTGGTTTGTTGTTTAACGCCGCACCCAGCAGTATTCCAGCTATATGACGGCGGTGTGTAAATAATCGAGTCTGGACCAGACAATCCAGTGACTGACAACATGAGCATCGATCCACGCAATTGGGACAGATGACATGCATCAACCAAGTAACCGAGCCTGACCACCCGATCCCGTTAGTCGCCTTTTACGACAAGCATAGTCACCTTTTACGTCAAACATGGGTTGCTGAAGACTTGTTCTACCCCGGATCTTCACTGGCCCACTGTACGGGATAAGGAGTGGAGATAACGGTTTATCTGCAGCATCGGCTTTTAAGTTACCTGTAGTGTCTACATTTCTTGGTTACCAGAAAAAACGATGTCACATGAACATTTTTTAAACTTCGGCTATTATTAAGTTATTAAGGTGATGATGTAAATCCTGCTGGGGTGTCATGCAGGGAGCTGAGGCACCGTAAGTCCCCATGATCCCAAAATGGGTTGATAACTTGTAACCTTTTTTAAACTGTTGTAAAATGTATTGTTATGGTAAAATATATTTGATAAATTTGCTTTTAAATATAACGTTGATGTATTTATTCGACGTGCTTATCGCTATCAAAACTTCTTCTCGTCGCTATAGGGCTGAGTGAGTATGGTTTTACGCCGCATTTAGCAATATTCCAGCAATATCACGGCGGGGAACACCAGAAATGCGCTTTCCACATTGTACCCATTTGGGGAATCGAACCACTAGGGTACCCGCCCGGTTTATGTCTAAAACAATGCCGATGCGACGTTACATTTTGACTCAATCACATTCCCAGAGGCCAGTCTGAGAACTCGGTCAGATGACACGGAGAGACCAGTGACATAACCCAGAGGTGTCTGTGGTGTGTGTAACAATAAGAAGGTTAATAAGTAGATTTTGAGATCCCTCGAATATATATCATGACACGCAATGTTATTTGTTTTCAAGACATAACCAGTTCCTGAAACACTTAAAAAAATAACTTGTCCTCGACATGCTGAATGTATTTAAAACACACACACACACACACACACACACACACACACACACACACACACACACACACACACACACACACAAAAGAAGAAGAAGAAAAATATACATAAAAGTACATGACAAAATAGTAATAATAATACATAAAAAAAAATATATATATAATAATATACAATTTGTAATTGACTCCAGGGAAAATAATTTCCCTGAAATGTGTTATTGGTAGCGAAGCCTTGTCTATTGTCTTTTATATATTAGTACTAAGGAAAGTGGATGTTTCTGGTCCATGATCCCTGATCTTGAAAATGATTTATTTCTGTACTTTTTGTATATATGAGTCATGAAATAATGATGTATCATAAGGATAAATCACTTACATGTCGTGAGATTGAACACATTGTGCAATCACAATAATAACTATTACAATCACAATCACATATATATGCATTTGTATAAATTGATAAATGATAAATGATTTGTGTTATTGGACATATTGCCCCGATAACAGCAAAAAAACTGTCTATATGGACTTGTGCTTGGTTAATTGAACGTTACTCATCTCTGTCTCTTGGGTATAGGATCAGGTAATCCATGACGTGTGACGTTTCGGTACAGGTTCTGATACACTAAGCCTTATTAAGTAAGTTGTTACTGGAACGTAGTATCAGAAGAATTAAAAACGTTCTTTTTCAATAAGAACTTGTCCTTGTCAATCTGTTAGTCTGTACGTAAAGAAAACCTGTTTTATTTAGATACTGACTCTCCAGTTCTGGGACGTATGTATTGCTCCATCTGTTTCCTCCAGTTGGCTAAAGCTCGTTTTACCATCTCCTCTTCAAACTGAGGAAAATGTGTCAAGTACGTATTCAATATGGTTTCGTCATCCGGAAGTTGACATTTCTCAAGGTCACCAGCCTCGTTCTCACGCAGTATTTTGTCATGAAGAATAATGAACGCTTTGCCCTGCGGATAAGCCATTGCTCGCAGGCTTCTCTGAAAGGTCATACCTTCTAAAGACGTATACTGATGATGGTAACATTCTTGAAACTGGTCAAATCGTCTGATGTTTCCAGTACTAAACTCATACGCCCCTCGCCATGTTCCGATACGAACTTCCCATGGCTCTGGGTCTGTCGACAGCCGATTGTCTCCCTTCCCATGAGCCCTTACTATCTTTCCGTTCTGCTTAAAGAACTTAACCTCAAGGTAAGATTGTTTAAAAACTGGAGATTCGGTTTCAAAATCTAACGAGACGGCCTCAAACAACGGATCGCCAAAGCCCACGTCAACTAGAAACGTGTCTCCGTCTGTTACCAAATTTTGGACAAATACTACAATATGGTTGTCATGGCGTTCATCGTGCTCCACGTAAACGAAAGCGTGCCCAAGTGTGACGTCATAGCCGAGACCTTCCAGCAAGAAGAACATGAAACTGTTGAGGGAATGACACACGCCGCCATGTTGTTTAAACATGGCGTCCACGATCTCGGACATGGAGGGCACGTGACGCTTTTCGAGATCCTCGGCTATCAGTGTTACAGACTGGAATGGAATCCTCGTCATGAACTCCCTGATGATGTTGTTCAGGAATGGTAAATCACATCTCGGTTGTCCATCTGGTCCGTCACAAGGAACTGCCATGCCCAAAATGTCTTGGAGGAACAATAAGGCTCGGGACTTGGTTAATGCTGCCATACCTGGAACGAAGACGATACACGTTGATATTATCTGAAGACGTATTTAGGCATCAATCAAAGAGATGCGAGGAGTTTCGAACCATCTGTCCCGAGTGAGGGGGCACGGGTGGCCCAGTCGTCTAAGGCGCCGCAATTCGCTGTCTAGAGTTGCGTCCATTGGGCACGCCAGAAACCCATGATTGTGGGTTCGAATCCCGGTTCGCCCCGATTATGTTTCTAGGTTTGTCGGCACCATACCCGTACTCGTGAGTTTCACCGAAGTGGTAAACGTCTGAGACCTGCATCACTTCGGGCTTTCCTCCCATATTAAGCTGACACGCCGCGATATAACTGGAATACTGTTAAAAACGGCGTTAAACCCAACTCACTCACTCACTGTCCTGGATGAAAAAATTGTCTACCGAGACTTTGTCGAGAACAGATAACCCGCATGCACGTGCGCGTGTGTGTGTCTGGGTGGCCGCTTGTACTAGTCCGGACTAATACCGATTTTATAGTGCTAGGCCACTGAGATACCATGCCGCAGTTTAACATGAATACCCCACTCAGACACAGTATACTGACTCCAAGCCGACCAGTCTTTGTTTTAGCCCCTTATTGCCGAGCGACAGGCAGGGTAAAAACAAGGACCATCTTCTAATGTCTTTATGACATCTTTTAATGTCTCCCCCCCCCTTGATGTTTTTCATTCTTAACCTGTTGAGAGCTTATGTAATATAATGAACAAAAACAGGTGGGGGAACAAAAGGTAATTCTCACTAATATGCAATATGGTACCAGTAGCAGCAGGTAGTAGCATATAATTTAAAATACGTTACTACAACAAGTTAACGCTTTGATTCGCGGAGGCGCATTTGTGAAATAGGGGCGTCACGCATAGAAATTGCTGGAGCGATCACAAACTTGTAGACAGGTAATCTGTGCCTTGAACGCAGACGTGACTCGAATATACATACCTGTCTGCATTACGCAGGATTCTGTTAATGTGACAACGCCACTCTCACACGAGGCCGACTGCCGTGCAGATTTGCCTCAGGTTATTGGCACAGCCATCTTACACACATACACGGACTTGCCCTACATCTCCAAGCCATAGAGGACATTCTACAACCTGCTGTAACCAGTTGAACAGTCTTAGCATTTGCACTCTTTCATATTCATGAGGTCAACACAAAGGACCCATAATTGCTTCTGCGTATGCTGGTAGTATTATTAACGTAGTATCGTAAGTACGTTACCTTTGCACGTAATACGTCAGCAGTATTCTACACGACGTTGTCAGAAACACACACATTCATGTCCCCGACTGCTGTCGACATCGCCTCGCGCGTCTCCTTGAACGTTTAACAGGTCAGTGTGAGAACAGTGCTTTCTATGTAGGGCAAGAAAGCGGGTCAGAATTATTGCTATCTGACTACGTTGCACACAAGTGTCTCGTTGATAGTGTAGTAACTCATTGTAGGCAGAAATATGCCTTGCGATTCACCATGTGTCTCATAACCAGCGCCCCTGATATTTTAAAATAGTTTTTAACACTTTTTAAAATCGAGTATTAGATTCGTGACGAGCGAGCGCTTTAACCACAAAGCTGTCCCGCCTCTCCTTCAAGGTTGGAGGGGGCAAGGGTGGCCCTGTCGTCTAAGGCGTCGATTCGCTGTGCAGAGTTGCGTCCCGTGGGCACGCCAGAAACATATGTTTGCGGGTTCGAATCCCGGTTCGCCCCGATTATATTTCTAGGTTTGTCAGCACCATACCCGTGCTTGTGGGTTTCACCAAAGTGGTAAACGTCTGAGACCTGCATCACTTCGGGCTTTCCTCCCACATTAAGCTGACGCCTTTATAAGTCGTAATAATTTGTATTCGTAATGAATATGAACATGTTCCATCTGGATCCCTCGTTATGAATGTTTAAAACTCTAAATAAAACTAGCAAACACCCTGGAGCTATGTGGACACACTACCCACAAGGTTGAGATAATAGACAAATGTGTGTTACAATTGAAGTGTACTTTTAAGTTGGTAACAAATATTTCATTGGCTTGGCACCAATCTCATTAAAATCAGATCTTAGTTCTCGCTACCGCTAAACAAAGATCTGAGGACATCTCACTACGTGTCACGTCAGACCGACCCTGCGCGAACCTCGACCGACCAATGAAATGACTGACAAGAAGTCGACATTAGCCAATCAGAAGGCAGCTTTCTCGTGCTTTACGGCACTAATTTCAAATTGGCGAGTACCCTTCGAAACATATTTTGACAAATTCTCGATAAAAAAATTGAAACCTGAACAAAAACACTCTTTCAGGAATGGCTAATAGATGGTCTAGATTGTATGGATTCAGTCAAGCCCGTAACTATCGTTCGGAATATCGCGTGTTAAAGTTTTCGGGGTTGCAAGATTAGAAATCACATTCCGACTGTCACTTCAAGACCTGGTAAGCGACGATCTGATTGGTCGGATGAATGGCCGTTCTGTCGTGATGTCCTCAGGTCTTTGTTTAGCGGTAGCGAGAACTAAGATCTGATTTTGATGGGATTTGCTTGGCCCGTTCCCTCATGACGCACATATCTGTTTGTGCTGGTGCCGACGTGATACTATACAGCCAATCGTGATCAATTTTTTTAATTTAGAAGTGATACACATTAGATGGAGAATGTATGGATGTCAACTTCTTATGAGGAACACCACGATTCATCGTGTATGCTTACTACTTCATCATTCACCTGATGCTGGAGTAATCCATAAATTCTTTCTCTTACGCAGTGTTTGAAATAAAGAAAAATGTCATCAGGACCCACAGCACTTAGAAGCTGCAGCACTAAACTATTAAAAAAAAAGTTTAAAAAACATACTGCTTATTGTGAGAAATAAACTGACAATTAAATTTATTGCAGGCCATAAGGACCAATGCAAACTAAGGGCCCGACTCGAACTCTTCTGGTCAGGGGCCTACGATGTCTTGGGCAGGAAATGACAGTGTTTTGACTACTCGTCTTTCATTAATTAACGTGTTTGGCATCCCTAATTAACCATTACTAATTCATGTTAACCAACGCAGGATGTTTTCTGGAAGTGGACAATCGCGAATGTCAATGTCATAGTTAATAACTGTCCTAGAACTTCTAAAGTTACTAAACATTCTTTATATCTAACGACTATTATTATATCTACCTATATACCACTTTATTGTCTCATATTGCGGTAGTTAAAGAAAACACAGTGCTCAAAGTGAAGCCCTTTTCACTCCTCATTCTCAACATCGTCTCTATCAGAAGTGTTTGGCAACTATTGAACTGCATGGCAAGTATTTATAAAATCAACGGGGGAGGAAATATTCTGGGGGGACATTTTATAGGGTGGGGGAGAGTTTATTTCGAGAGGGGCGTAACACGTGATATAGATTCAATATTGCTGCCTGCGGCGAAAAAAGCAACTTTTAACGATATTAATTTTATTCCTCTTCATAACGAATGATATAAGGGACCCGTGAAGATCCGGGGTAGAATAGGTCTTCAACGTCACATGCTTGCCGTAAATGGCGACTATGCTTGTCATGAGTGCTGACAACCTGGATCGTGTGGTTCGGTGACGTGGTTAAATGTATAGTTCGTGTTGCGTGTGGCTCGCTTAAACTGTCAATCACTGGTTTGTGTTGATTCCATTATTTGCAAGTCACCGTCGTATTGCTTGGAAACTTGAACAACAAATATTTTACGGTCGCATCAATTGTGTTTTAAATCATTTAAATGTGCATCTTTGTTCCGAGGCGAGCTGAGTGGCAGAAAAGTTCGACATGACACATATTGTAGACCTTACCAGTCAGGTGAGACAGTCAATCATACAGTTGAGACAGTCAGACATGAAAAAGGAGAGTTATTGAGGCTGTCAGACATGTAATAGCGGAATTATTTAGGCTGTCTGACATGAGGTAGGAGAGTTAGTGAGGCTGTCAGACATGAGGTAGGAAAGTTAGTGAGGCTGTCAGACATGAGGTAGGAGAGTTAGTGAGACTGTCAGACATAAAATAGGAGAGTTATTGAGGCTGTCAGACATGAGGTAGGAGAGTTAGTGAGGCTGTCAGACATGAAATATGAGAGTTAGTCAGGCTGTCAGACATGAGGTAGGAGAGTTATTGATGCAGTCAGACATGAGGTAGGAGAGTTAGTGAGGCTGTCAGACATGAGGTAGGAGAGTTAGTGAGGCTGTCAGACATGAGGTAGGAGAGTTATTGAGACTGTCAGACATAAAATAGGAGAGTTATTGAGGCTGTCAGACATGAGGTAGGAGAGTTAGTGAGGCTGTCAGACATGAAATAGGAGAGTTAGTGAGGCTGTCAGACATGAGGTAGGAGAGTTATTGATGCAGTCAGACATGAGGTAGGAGAGTTAGTGAGGCTGTCTGACATGAGGTAGGAGAGTTAGTGAGGCTATCAGACATAAGGAAGGAGAATTAGTGAGGCTGTCAGACATGAGGTAGGAGAGTTAGTGAGGCTGTCAGACATGAGGTAGGAGAGTTAGTGAGGCTGTCAGACATGAGGTAGGAGAGTTATTGAGACTGTCAGACATAAAATAGGAGAGTTATTGAGGCTGTCAGACAGGAGGTAGGAGAGTTAGTGAGGCTGTCAGACATGAAATAGGAGAGTTAGTGAGGCTGTCAGACATGAGGTAGGAGAGTTATTGATGCAGTCAGACATGAGGTAGGAGAGTTAGTGAGGCTGTCAGACATGAGGTAGGAGAGTTAGTGAGGCTATCAGACATAAGGAAGGAGAATTAGTGAGGCTGTCAGACATGAGGTAGGAGAGTTAGTGAGGCTGTCAGACATGAGGTAGGTGAGTTATTGAGGCTGTCAGACATGAGGTAGGAGAGTTATTGATGCTGTCAGACATGAGGTAGGCGAGTTAGTTAGGCTGTCAGACATGCGGTAGGAGTGTTATTGAAGGTGTCAGACATGAGGTAGGAGAGTTAGTGAGGCTACCATACATGAAGTAGGTGAGTTCAAGGGGCAGTCAGTCATGAGGTAGGTGAGGTATTGAGGCCGTCAGACATGAGGTAGGAGAGTTAGTGAGGCTGTCATACATGAAGTAGGTGAGTTCAAGGGGCAGTCAGTCATGAGGTAGGTGAGGTATTGAGGCTGTCAGACATGAGGTAGGAGAGTTAGTGAGGCTGTCATACATGAAATAGGTGAGTTCGAGAGGCAGTCAGACATGAGGTAGGAGAGTTATTGAGGCTGTCAGACATAAAATAGAAGAGTTATTGAGGCTTTCAGACATGAAGTAGGTGAGTTCGAGAGACAGTCAGACATAAAATAGGAGAGTTATTGAGGCTGTCAGACATGAGGTAGGTGAGTACTGGCAGTACGTGTAACGTTACATGGACAGGGAACGGGCAGTACGTGTAATGTTACATCAACATGGAACTGGCAGTACGTGTAATGTTACATCAACAGGGAACGGGCAGTACGTGTAATGTTACATCGACAGGGAACAGGCAGTATGTGTAATGTTACATCGACAGGGAACAGGCAGTATGTGTAATGTTACATCAACAGGGAACAGGCAGTACGTGTAATGTTACATCGACAGGGAACAGACAGTATGTGTAATGTTACATCAACAGGGAACAGTCAGTGTGTGTAAATTTACATCGACAGGGAACAGGCAGTACGTGTAATGTTACATCGACATGGAACAGGCAGTACGTGTAATGTTACATCGACAGGGAACAGGCAGTATGTGTAATGTTACATCGACAGGGAACAGGCAGTACGTGTAATGCTACATCGACAGGGAACAGGCAGTATGTGTAATGTTACATCGACAGGGAACAGGCAGTACGTGTAATGTTACATCGACAGGGAACGGGCAGTACGTGTAATGTTACATCGACAGGGAACAGACAGTACGTGTAATGTTACATCGACAGGGAACAGGCAGTATGTGTAATGTTACATCGACAGGGAACAGGCAGTACGTGTAATGTTACATCGACAGGGAACGGGCAGTACGTGTAATGTTACATCGACAGGGAACAGGCAGTATGTGTAATGTTACATCAACAGGGAACAGTCAGTGTGTGTAATGTTACATCAACAGGGAACAGGCAGTATGTGTAATGTTACATCGACAGGGAACAGGCAGTATTTTTTATGTAACATCAACAGGGAACAGGCAGTATGTGTAATGTTACATCGACAGGGAACAGGCAGTACGTGTAATGTTACATCAACAGGGAACAGTCAGTGTGTGTAATGTTACATCGACAGGGAACAGGCAGTATTTTTTATGTAACATCAACAGGGAACAGGCAGTATGTGTAATGTTACATCGACAGGGAACAGGCAGTACGTGTAATGTTACATCAACAGGGAACAGTCAGTGTGTGTAATGTTACATCGACAGGGAACAGGCAGTATGTTTTATGTAACATCAACAGGGAACAGGCAGTATGTGTAATGTTACATCGACAGGGAACAGGCAGTACGTGTAATGTTACATCATCAGGGAACAGTCAGTGTGTGTAATGTTACATCGACAGGGAACAGTCAGTGTGTGTAATGTTACATCGACAGGGAAGAGTCAGTATATATAATTTTACATCGACATGGAACAGGCAGTACGTGTAATGTTACACCGACCAGGAACAGGCAGTATGTGTAATGTTACACCGAGAAGGAACAGGCAGTATATGTAATGTTATATCAACAGGGAACAGGCAGTACATGTATTGTTATATCGACAGGGAACAGGCAGTATATGTAATGTTACATCGACAGGGAACGGGCAGTTTGTGTAATGTTACATTGTGAACCTGGCAGTAAGCTGGTGTTTCCTTTTACAGCTCGAACGCCCTTGCCGCACTTATGTAGGTAAACCCAGCCGTTAGGAAAGGTCCCGTCCAGAATCTTCTGGAACGATCAACACTAATATGTATGCGCACCACTAGGGCAGATAACTCTAGTACATTGTCCGCCCGGAGAGCGTGCCCGGACGCGTCATACCAAAACACTTTAAAATATGGTACTTGTTGTTACCCTGTCTGGCGCTCAGCATTATGGGGCTAAACCAAGGACTGGTCGGCTCAGAGTCAGTATACTGTGTCTGAGTGGGGTATTCATGTTAAACTGCGCCATGGTATCTCAGTGAACTAGAACTATAAATCAGCATTAGTCCGGACTAGTACAAGCAGACACACACAAACACACACACGTGCATGCACGTCGCTATATAAGTGCAATAATCTTGAGCGCGACGTTCAACCAATTTCACATCACCTCACCATTTCACATCCTCTACTAGTTGACTTCATATCAGTCATTAATCAGTCATGTTTAATCTGTGATTAACCCTAACACGCTTCCCTGCACACGACCATGATTGTGAACAACACAACAGGAGTAAACACTGGCATCCAGAAAGTATAACACTTGCGTTGTCAGAATAATGCTTAATTGTGGTTAACTGTAGTTGTGATGCCCTGTAACATGCTCTATTAACTTCATAATGAATATATTAAAGGTTAAGACCGTCTTTGAATACAGTCTGCCTACGAATATATTAAAGTTTCAAATTATTCCATTGCTAGGTCACTTTTTTGAATGATTTTAACCTATATTACCTTGGTTAAAAGTATGGATACATTCGACAGCAAATACAGCTATAATCAAACACATGAAAACATGGTCACTGGAAAGTAAATTTGAATTTTTATGTATACAGTAAAGTACGGTTATAACGAACTCAAAGGGACTACTAATTTTAGTTCGTTATAACCGTAGTTCGTTATATGCATATATATACAGCATAACTACAGCAAATAGTCGGGACCAAAAAAGTAAGTTCGTTATATCCGTCAGTTCGTTATAAGCGTGTTCGTTATAACCGTAGATTACTGTACATATTTTTGGTGAATAATGGCCACACGGGGACCGTGAACTATTTTCATCTGACCATCTAATCAAAGACGTTTCTGAATTTATTTGTTCGTCATTTAACCTTTATATCACATAAAAGACTTATTGGTAATTCCAAGTGGGCTAGGGGTCGGACAGCCCTCCTGCACTTATACAAATCTCTTGGCACACAAGACACCCCGTGCTCATGAGTTTTACAGGTGGAAATGAATTGTCATAACAACGCTTTCATTCTACATTAAGCCGAGTACTGTTCAAAGAGGCGTTAAACTTACTTACTCATCCAATGTCTATTTCGATTATATATTTTTTTTAAATGGCATGTACGTTACTCTTTAACCATCAGTACTCCCAGCATTTTAGAACTATATAATACTCAAAAGAACATAAAGAACATCCAATTCTTTGATATTACTGTAGTTAATCTTTCAAGCCATCGGACGTGTTTTAACTTCGTTTGAGAAGAGTAAAATGTGTTCTCATCTCTATTATTTTCATCAGAAGTCTAAACTTATTTATCTACGTATTAATTGTATGATAGGCAAGAAGTTAACGGATGACAAAGAAGACACAATTGATGGATAACAACTTCTTTATTGTACTGTTATGGTATAGCTCCTTATATAGTTGTCAAACAAGGAAAACAAGTATAAGGATCTATACCGAAACGACGCCATAACAGTGAAATAAAGATGTTATTAATAAATTGTGTCTCCTTTATCAACTTATGCTTTGTATGTTGTATGCACATTATAAACACCCGTAATTAATGTCACTTGAGTGCATCTGATGATCATTGATTTTGTAAAACAGGTCGAATACAATTAGAATTTGATAATTTACATAATTCATTTGGCAATACTGAAATCGGTGAAGGGAAACGGTGGTTGGCATGCGTTTGTATGTTTTAATGTAAATGTATTCAATGATTCAATGAAGTCATGGTGTCTAACAATGTTTATAAGTAAATACTACGGATCCTATAAACAAGGATCGCCCTTGTTGATTTCCGTGTTAACATATTTATTTCATGATGAAGTAGATGTGCAAACAAGCCACTGTAAAAACATAAAAAACACATGTTGACAATTAATTTTATATAAAAAACCTTATTTTCTGTTGTTTCATTGTGATATTTCGTCACTACTGTCATGCAACAATAGTCATTTTTAACAAACACTGTGTTTGAGGCCTGTGCACTATTTGCTTATTATTTAATGCAAGGAGATTGCATTACACCAAAGGTCCCAATTAACAGACAACAATATCGATTGCGTGTATGTCAATGAGACTGATTATTACAGACCTTTAAGAACGAACTCACTGTTAGCTGTCTGTATTATTGGCCTCTGTCAACATAGTCACTGTGCCATAACAGTGGCTCAACTTTTACCCTTTGGTTCACTGGACGGAGTGAAACGAGAATGAAGATGATGCTGATTGTAGTTGCTGTTACCGTCTTCAACGTTTTGACTCAGGGTTACTGTCAGGGTAATTTGTTGGATATTCAAGTGACTCTCACGGAGAATACACGAGTCATTGTCTGCGTGTGTTCCGACGCTGACACCTGCACTGCAGACAACTGGAAGGATCTCCTTGCAGAGTGTCGAAAGGAGGCAGCGAACGTCGAGCATGAGGTATAGTATATGTAGAAGATTTGGTTGTTTGGTTGGTTTGTTGTTTAACGCCGCATTCAGCAATATTCCAGCTATATGACAGCGGTCTGTAAATAATCGAGGCTGGACCAGACAATCCAGTGATTGCTATCATGAGCATCGATCCACGCAATTGGGATCGATGACATGCATCAACCAAGTCAGCGAGCCTTACCACCCGATCCCGTTAGTCTCCTCTTACAAGCATAGTCGCCTTTTACGGCAAGTATGGGTTGCTGAAGACCTTATTCTACCCTGGATCTTCAAGGGTCCTATTTGTAGGAGATGCGAGGTTGTGTTATACATGGAATAGGTGTTATACATGGAATAGGTGACATGACGTTTTGTACATGTGAGATGGCGATTGTGTGGGGGTGGTATAAGCTTCGACTGTACAGGAACATCGTGTCACGGCACTGTAGCTCACCTGGATATGTGGTCAAAAGTTTAATATTTCGACAAAGACAGCCACTTAAAAAGTTGCCGTCAGTATTGATATTCAAATACGTTCAGTATAAATACTGAAGACTAAACTTAAGGCTAAAACTCAAATGAATTTGACAAAATATGTCATTTTAAGTAAAACAATCTTCCCAAAGTTCAGCTTCACCACGTGCACACTGATAAATGATCAAATGTCCCAATGCCAACTCTACATATAAGTGATTTTCATTTTATTTCATCACATTTCGAACAAAGATTACCATAATAAGTTTGTCAAAAAGACGACAATTTACGCCGAATGACCAACGACTGACAACCACGACAGATCCTTTTATTTTCAGTCAGGTGGTCTAAAACTAGGATGTCTTAATAATTTCTCTTTATAAATGATTATGTAACAATTGTGATTGTGAGAATAATACAACATAAATGCTTCATGTTTCTCTTACGATAGCTATATTTCCAGGTATTGTCTGTTCTTGAAGAGGTGACGTGAAACGGCATTGAGCGAAAATATTGCACTCACATTGACGCGCCATGCTACCATCTAACATGGGCACCTCACTCCGACACAGTACAGTGTCTTTGAAACGCGTAGTCATTGTTTTATCCTCTTAATGTCAAGCGCCAGTCAGGCCAACATCAAGAACCATCTTTTACCATCTAGTGCCGATGTCGATTTTACAGTGCTAGCCCTTTGAGATACCATGCCACAGTTTAACATGAATACCCCACTCAGACACAGTATACTGACTCCGAGCCGACCAGTCCTTGTTTTAGCCTATCAATGCCGAGCGCCAGACAGGGTAACATCAGGAACCATCTTTAAACGTCTTTTGGTATTACGCGGCCGGGGATCGAACATTTGGCGTTTGTTCTTGAAGAAGGATGAGTACATTGAAGGACAATAACGAATTACATCAGCACCTCTGTTGCCCTGTATAAAAGGAAAGGATGCCTGGCACCACTGCAGAAGTACCAATGTTTCCAGTGTGTAATTTCAACTTTTCCGAAACTACTTCTCAAGCATTACCTCAAGTTACGACTCATAACGTGCTATATTTCTTTATTGCCAAATAACCCTCTTTTGCCAACTGACCGCCTCCGTGGTCTAGTGGTAGAGCGTCCGCCCGGAGAGCGGAAGGTACAGGGTTCGATCCCCGGCCGCGTCATACCCAAAGACGTTTAAAGATGGTTCCTGATGTTACCCTGTCTGGCGCTCGGCATAATGGGCTAAAACAAGGACTGGTCGGCTCGGAGTCAGTATACTGTGTCTGAGTGGGGTATTCATGTTAAACTGTGGCACGGTATCTCAGTGGGCTAGCACTGTAAAATCCACATCGGCACTGTGAAATTCATGTTGTTCAGAACAATACCCATCCTCATTAATATATGAACATAGCTGATATTGTCATGTTGATTATTTTTCCTTTTCTTAGGTTATGGAACAAACCAGTACCTCGACAAAAGAACCGACCACCTCGACACAAGAACCGACCACCTCGACACCAGAACCGATCACCTCGACACCACAACCGACCACCTCGACACCACAACCGACCACCTCGACACCAGAACCGACCACCTCGACACAAGGTAATCTCCTTACCCTGATATTTGATATTAGTATTTGTTGAGAGTCTTGTTCCTCTTCAAAGTAAGATACATTTAGTACAATACAATAGCAAGGATGGCCTTGTATCATAAAACCACGGAATGACAATGCAATATGTAACAGCACTGAGCCACAAATACTGTAAAACAGGAATTTAATGCGACATGAAAATAATGCGAGCTCTTGATTTTAGACATAAATGCGCATTTTAAAAATGCGAGTGGCCATACCCTTTCCTATGAATTTATGCGCTGTATTCATGTTCTGTGTTACTTTAATTAATGTAACCTACGTAAATAAAAGCCATCCAGGGGACAATCCTCACACTCCTGTTGACCTGCGGATTAGTGTCATGAAACCCATTGTACATGTACATGTCATACATCGGATGTCCGCACTTACAATGGTATCAATCGAGATCCTATTCACTTACGAAGGGCTAATAAAGTACCTATCCTATGAGACCAATTTACATGACACGTGTAGATCGCAGACCATCATCTCGATACAACTTCGACTATTTCATTGAATACTCATATAAATAAAAGCAACAAATTCCTATCGGACATCATAAGAAGCAGAATCCATTCTACGATTCCGACTACATCTTAAACATGAATAATAAACTATTAAATAATTGTGACACCAGGTGTTCGCGAAAAGGTGAGCGCATCATGTCCCAAACACAGTGTCAGTTGTTCATCGAGTAAAAAGACCGCCTCCGTGGTCTAGTGGTAGAGCGTCCGCCCGGAGAGCGGAAGGTCCGGGGTTGTAACCCCGGCCGCGTCATACCAAAAGACGTTAAAAGATGGTACTTGTTGTTAACCTGTCTGGCGCTCGGCATAAAGGGGCTAAAACAAGGACTGGTCGGCTCAGAGTCAGTATACTGTGTCTGAGTGGGGTATTCATGTTCAACTGCGGCATGGTATCTCAGAGAAACTGGCACTATAAATCGGCATTAGTCCGGACTAGTACAAGCAGCCACACACAGACACACACACGTGCATGCACGTCGCTATATAGTACAATAATCTTGGACGCGACGTTAAACCCCATTTCTTCTCACCTCATCCGGTAAAACAATGGAACGTATGGTAGTAGTGAAAATATGTAATTGCGTCGAACATCAATTTTGGCAATGATTTGGAAATGCCCTAGGCCTCAACGCAAATGTCTACCATGACATATGTTGTGTACATCGGTAAACAATTCCTGTCATTTTTGATCATTTGTTTTCAACACTTAATTGCAAATCCATTTGGGCTAGATAATAAAATGTTTCTTTCAGTATCAGTAAAGACAAGTTATTTTATGGATGACAACTTTATTTTATTGTGATGCAGTTGTCATCCGCATAATACCTTGTCTTCACTGTTACGTACCTACTTCTAAAAATGCCAATAAAACAGTTCATTTTCAGGAACTCCTACTTTTTTCCTTTATGATAATTGACTGGTTTTCATTGTTCACAAAGAGGGCAACGTGACTTAAACATACACCAACACAAATGCCTCCGTCGCATGGGACCCGTGAAGATGCCGGGTAGAATAGGTCTTCAGCAACCCATGCTTGCCGTAAAAGGTGACTATGCTTGTCGTAAGAGGCGACTAACGGGATCGGGTGGTCAGGCTCGCTGACAATTGCGTGGATCGATGCTCATGATATCAATCACTGGATTGTCTGGTCCAGACTCGATTATTTACAGACCGCCGTCATATAGCTAGAATATTGCTGAGTGCGGCGTTAAACAACAAACCAACCAAACAACCAACCGTCGCATGGCAGGAGTACTGCTGTGGAGTGTCAGGTAAACATACACATACATTCCAAAGCAAATTGTGTGATTGTCGGTTGTTAACGGACTGGCGGCTTACGCTTACTCCTTTCGCGAACACCTGGTGTCATCGCTGGTTTTCAGTGATCTTTTTGTGTAATGTACTTTCATTTTACGTTATTTATTTTTAATTTAACTTTGCACCCAGTGACTCTGTTTCCTCGGATAGTCAGGGCAGGTTATTTTCAGGTTAATTTCACTACTACCGTTTTATGTTCTTAGAACGCATAATTAAAAAACGTCTTCATCCATTGTCAAAAGAGAATATGTCACCTCCGTCAAACAATAATCTGACTCGGCTGCTGTCTCCGCTTGAGATCAAATAACCTACCATATTCTAGATTTTCTTTGAGAAAAGACGATGCGTCTTTTCAACACGACTCGTCATAAAAGTATAAATCTTCGAGTCTCTAGATCTATCGATGTGTGCTGTCATATGAAGGGTACCATTCGTCCAACTTTTTTCGTTTGTAAACAAGTATAACCAGTGTCTTGGGTGTAACAAGAAAAACTAACAAGCTTCAGTGGCAAAGAGATGTGATGTCATTTTATAGTGACATAATGGTAACGATGACGTCAAAACGGTATGCAAAGTATTGTGAAGCAATTTCACTGTACCGATATTTCGTTTTGGGTGG